GCCCATAATCGATAGATCCAGGAGGGGTTGCATAAAAATGTCGTGTTCGAGTTCGCCATTTAGGAATGCAGTCTTCACGTCCATCTGGTGGATCTCCAGATCTAGACAGGCACCTAATGTGAGGAGAATCCATATGGAGGCCCACTTAACGATGGGTGTGAAAGTCTCCTCATAATTGATTGCGTAAATTTGACTAAAACCCTTCGCAACAATGCAAGCTTTGTATCACTCTATTTCCCCATCAGCCCCCTTCTTCAATGTGAATACCCATTTAGATCCCACAACGTTATGAGGGTCAACTTGACTCTTTCGTACGGGAAGGTAAGTCCCTGTCTCCTTCAATGCACTAAGCTCTTCAGTGCAGGCCTCAAGCCACGAATTCGAATCATGGCGATCCATAGCTTCCTTATAGGTATGTGGTATTGTTGTTGTCGCCGACATCACCCAAGTTATGCCCACTAACTCAGGGGCATTTTGCGTTCTCTTGTAGGATGAGGCCTCATATTGGATGTCGTCATCCGGGATAGGCACATGATGTATATGTGTTGATTGACGTGGTTCAGGCAGTTGAACTTCGGATTCGGGGACAGGTGTAGGTGGGTTCTCTCCATCTAATCCATCTTCGTCTTCACTCTCACCCCTTTCTCCCTCTCAATCTTCTCAATCTTCCCCTCCTCCATTTCCATCTCCCTCAACCTTATCCATTCCATCATTCTTCCCAGGAGTGATGGGGAATCAGGTGATTCTACCTCAATCGTCACGTGCTCTGATTCCTTATCCAACTCTTTGAAGAAGTGAACATCCCTGGACTCGTGAAGTTTCCGAGTCTTGGGATCGTAAATTACAAATGCCTTCTTCCCTTGGGCCAATCCAAGGTGAATGCTGGGAATGGAGCAGTCACCCAGCTTACGACGGAGGTCGCGGTGAATGTGGAGTGTGGCTTTGCAGCCAAAGGTACATAGTGTTGAAAGGTTTGGTTTATTACCAAAGTAACATTCATAGGGAGAGATGTCGTCAGGTAATGCAGAGTGGGGAGAGGCATTCTTTATTAGCACAGCATGTCACAATGCGTACAGCCAAGCAGAGTGGCTGAGTTTTGACTCAACGCTCTTCAACATGGCAATACTCATTGTCACCAGGGTCCTGTTGACCCTTTCGGCTACCCCATTTTCCTGCAGTGTGCGTGGATTCGTCTTCTCATGAACAATGCTGATACTCTTTAGATATTCGGTGAATTCGGTAGAAAAATACTCGCTGCCACCATTCATTCGAAGAACCTTCAACTTGTGGCCTGTCTGCCTTTCTGCCTCTGCAAGAAACTCCCTGAACTTCTCGAGTGCATCAGACTTGTTCTTCATCGGATAGACAGTAAGATATCAGCTGTGATCATCGACGAAAGTGATGAAGTATTTAAACCCTTCACGTGTCACTGTTTGCATTTCACAGACATTGGAGAAGACTCAACCAAGGATTTCATCTGAGTGAGTATGGGTTTTGGAAGGGATGGGGTTACGGTCATGGGATGAGGCCTCACATTCTGGACAGTAAGCCGCTCCATCATTGTTTCTGTGTCCAATCATGTCCATGCCTCTAACCATTCCACTATGCATCATTTTAAAAATAGAGTCTTTTGCGATGTGGCCTAGTCATTTGTGCCATACATCGATAGAAGCACTTGCAGTAGTGGTGCACACCATGTTAGCAGCATCGTCAGAGTGGGAGGTAGTTATGTAAGCCTTTTCAAGGGCAGCGATGGTGACAGGTAGTCGATAAAGACCATTCTCGGTGTGTGCAACAGCAATTAGTTGATCTGCCAAGTTGAAGATTTGACAATTTCCATGTTGGAAAGTTGCATACATGCCAGAAGAATTAAGTTGGATGACGGATAGGAGGTTGTGGGCTATCTTGGGGCAATAAAGGACATTGCATATTGTCGCATTTTGCGGTGAGTGTCCAGAGTCGAACGTAACTCTTACTTGTCCAATACCCGGTGCTAAAATCACCTTCTTATTTCCCAGAACGATCCTCCAAGGGGGGTTCAGACTATGATAAGTGGTGAACCATTCACGGTTACCACATAAGTGAGCGGTAGCTCCAGAATCAACGATCCACTCGGATCGTCCTTGCTGAGCTTCCGTGAGTGCCGTGCTTAGCGTCTCCAATACACCAGCAATCAAGACTTGATCATTGGCTTCCAAAGAGGTTGCCACTTTAGCTGATTCCTTCAGTGTTCCCAAAGATTTACCATGCTTCCCCTTCGGCCTTTCTGGTCTTTTACCCTCAGACCCACCACCTTCTGCCCAACATCGCTCGAAAGTGTGGCCTTCCTTGCCACACTTGGGATTTGTACAGTGGACTGTCGACTTTGCATTGTTAGAGTTTGACTCTTTTCCCAGTGGTTGGACTTCACAATGTTGGTGAACATTGTGCTGATAGTGGGATCGTTTCGTCTCATGCGTTCCTCTTCGAGTATGTGGTCGATGAAGGTTAGGGAATCTAGGTGTCTGGAGTGTTTCATCTTGACGATGGCAAAGGTTTTGAGATTGTGGTAAGTACCGGGGAGGGCTGAGGAGAGGGCAGTGACAAAGTCTTGGTCATCGACTTTGCGGCCCATAGCTGCCAATTGGTCATGTACTCATCGTATCTCATGATCTGAGGTTCCAGCAGTCTGGTATCTTCCATGTGGAATCGATATAGAGAGGTATGTAGCATGTTTGCCTGGTTGGGGCCTGTACCGATATAACAGTCCAGAAGTATCTTCCAGGCCTCTCGCATGTGAGATGCATTATCGATCAAAGTCATACACTTGTCGTTGATGTGACATTTGATGTAGGCATAGGCACGTTCATCCTTTTCCATCCATTCCGTATAATTCTGATCCATCGTTGACGGTGTAGGTTCTCCACCATCTGACACAGCTTTGACTATGTTCCACATACGCCCGACTTTGAGGACGGCTTCCATTCTCAATGCCCATATTTGATAATTCTTACCCTCAGCATCTAAGGCCACGATAGGAAATCTAGGGTTGTCGATTGATGAGGAAGTGGTGGTAGCGGCTGCAGTAGCAGCTGGGTTTGAGCTGGTTTGGGACATGGGGAGTGGGGAAGGAAGGATAGGGTCTGGAGTTCACTAGGTTCAGAGTTGACTGGGCAAATAACCTATTGAAATTATGAACTAGCATCGTGTAAGTGCTCAGCTCTAGATATGTGAACTGAAGGATATATTGTAGTTACCTAGCATCGTGTAAGCACTGGTAACATATTTACACATTGTTAGCTATTACTACATTGTGCAGTTAGATGAAGAGTGTCTCACCTCAGTTCTAGATACATGAACTGAGGGAGGGAGAGAGAGAAAAGTCATTCTTGTGGCTTTTAAGCCATCCACGACTGTGTCCATCAACATGGACTCCAAAAACAGAAGCATCGGGCAATCCTTCAAGGAAATGTCCATGTGCAAGAAATATGGTCCGATGGACTCAATGGACAGTCCACAGTGTACCAAGAAAAAAGAGATTTCAACACCCTGACTAGCCTGGACCCGGACCCGCATGCGTGCTCCACCCTGCATGCTCCGCGCGCCGCATGCTCCGGGCCCAGTTCCCACTTCTCATGTGACTTCTGGGTATCCCCGGAAGTTTTTGCCATATTGGGCCACTGTGGGAAAGTGAGAAGTTAACCTTCTTCTCACTTTCTTACCCACAGTAGAGTTGCGCCCTGGACAGGGCTGTTCACAGGTTAGGCTGTGGGCCATAGAGAGGGGTCATGGGGACCCCCCTGACAAATACACAGTTGGCAATAACATACAGTCATTCACATGCCAATGGTTCACACCTGTCAGAGACCTGGTCGAGACGAAGGTGTCTCCATGGTGGAGGGCTTCGGCCTCAGCGACTTGTGCCAGGAGCGCTGTGCCAAGTAACATGTCCGTGCCCTAACTTACTAAACTGGCAACCAGAACTGGGGGTAAACTCTAGTTGATTTTATTACTGAAGTGTAACCTATGTACAATATATATAGTTACAGCGAGGGCAGGTCCGCAAATGGCGGAGCAGAGCTAACGGGGTTAGACATTAGCCGATTGAATATTACCAATGAGTTGGGTTACAGGGTTAATGGAAAGGCAGGCGATAACCCAGAAACGGAAAGGAGGGATAGGCCCGAAGGTGGGCTTTGCAGGGCAAGCAAGTGTATTGTCCAGCAGAGGCAGGAGTGTGCTAGCGGACGTCAGAGCTGTCCAGAAGCCTTCGGGGCTCTGTACTTAGGGAGGCGTAGGTAATAAATTGAAAGGAGGGGGTGGTGACCATCGAGGGGTACCGAGGGGATTGCGGAATACGGGAGCTCCGAGGTTAGTGAAGGAGCGGAAGTATACCGGAGGGATTGGAGGGATCGGAAGTCGATGGCCAGGGATGGATATGACAACACCCCTCAATGGTTCATTTGCATGTAACATCCTTATTTCACCCCGGGATTTCTTTATTTTTTGCACACTTGTATATTATAACTATGACTATGACTATGCAAAAATTTGACCAAATCAGACATAAAATGAAGGAGTGATAGCAGTTATTCAATGAGTTAACAGTGCACACAAAAGTTATGCACTTTGCACTCTCCAGGAACATGGCTATGACATCACAGTGTGTCCTACAGCTTGGTGTGTTATCAAGGAACAGAAGGCTGCTGGCACATGTGCACATGTTTGTTTGTTGTGGTGAATGAGCACTTGTCAGACTTGGGTATACTTACATCCGAGTTTCCAAATTCAGTACCTCAAATTTATTCCTTTCTGTGCCTGCTGCTTTCACCAGAATCAGTAATGGCCCACTCCCTGACAATGCACAAGCAAAGCAGCTCAAGCAGTAGAGCAAATATTCTGCAAACCCTTGCTTCATGCCGTGTTACTGAATTATCGGTTCGGCACGTGAACTAATTGTCACACCATGTCACACTGAACCATTGAGCTGGGAAAGCACCATTTCCTTGTCTGCTGTTATTCTCGTTCATTTTTCATCCATTTCTTTATATCTCTCGGTAATATGTACATACCCAGCCTGGCTACTATCCGTCATAAAAATTTTGTATTTGGTTTTGATCCAATGTCATAGTCTCAAAATTACAAAATGTGAACCATTGGCCCGTGAATGACTGTAGTAGCACGGGAGATTTCGAAAAGTCACAAAAGCAAGAACACGACACAATTAACCTTAATGGCTCAATGGAATGTTGGTAAGGGTTTTGATACTGAAGGCGTTTGAGGGAGAGGGAGGGGGAGGGGGAGGAACGAGCCTGGCGAAGCGGAAAGAGACATCGAGAAGAACGGTTAACGGCTGAAGAGTAATCTACAACGACGCCCCCTTGTTCCCATGGCGGTGGCGGGTTGTTCTTGGTCAATTAGTTGATGACCCAATTGCACTCCCCAATCGCCACACGATCCAGCTGATCCCAATAGTAAACTGTAGCACCAGCGCGAAAAGAAGCAAAGGAAAAGGGAAAAATCAGCATTGCAGAAAAGTCTGGGTTAGGGAGGGGGGAAGGGGGGGGGGGACCAAAAGCTTTGCCCACTCACTAGTACAATGAGCGATCAAACGTCCAATTAGCGGAATCTTTTGCAAAAACACTCCAATCAGTTCACGCTTCGCTTCGCCAGGCTGGGCCAAATGTTCAGCTCGTTGTTTAGCAATCTCTTCTTTGGAGAAAGCAGAGTCGAGGTGGACGGTCGTTCCGTAGGTAATGTGGTTACCCGCGACGTTCGAGCTGGAAAAAGAAAAAAGAAAGGGGTCCATTAGTTTCAAATTATCACTGAAAGGGGAGTAGTGTGGTTTTACTTGTCAGGTTCATTACGCAGCTTCAGTTCCGTCCCCAAGTGGGCAAATGCAAAGCCATTATCTAAAAGCAAGAAGAGAAAACGAGAAACAGATCATTCGAAAAACTTTCAATGTGTGAATAGTACGTACTAGGAGAGATTTGCAATGAATTGTAATCTCCCAATTCAGGCAACAAAGTGGCCACTACAAAAGTGTAAAACCCCCCATCGTCAGACCCTCTAACGTTTTTTTTTGCGAACTCCCAAGAAACAAGTAATGGACGTACCAGCGTCATCATTCGAGGTGATACGCCACATAGTCTTAATCCTCTTCGAATCCCCAAACATTTTCCCGTTGAACGCTGGATTGAATAGAAAGCCTCGTCAGTCCTTCCAATCCCATCCTATCCACGAAGAGGGGAACTACTAGTCATACACCACAAACTAACTCACATTCAACAGAAGGCCTGTCGCAAAGGATAGGAGCCGCAAACAAGTACGGATTCCGAAGTTCTATTTTCTTCGGCAAGTCGTCGTTCATCACCATACGGGTATACACGAGCGAAGCTGTCGCACATCCCAACGAATGTCCCGTGAACCAAAGGTTAATCTGTAGAGAGGTGACATTAACAATTCCCAGGGAAGAAGAGAGAGAGAGAAAGGAAAAACAGATCTCACCTTGACATTATCTCCAAATCCATTCTTCTTCCTCAGCCACTTCGCCAAAGCTTTCGTCCCCGCCAATATCGTATCATAAGGTCTAAAGTTCCCCAACTTGCTCACGTCCTCAGGAAACACCCTCTCCTTGAATCCCTTGTGAACTTTACTAAACAGGTTCACATGCGTCCCCACGGGAACCATGAACGCGTTGAAATCCGATAACCATTCTCCGAATTCGATGGGACCTGTACCCTTGAAGGAAAGGATGATCCAGTTGGAGTTGGGATCCCAGAATAGACCGGCGAAGGCCGATGAGGTGTTGTTCAGTTCTAATGGGGGGGAGAGGGTGTTTGAATGATGAGTAAATAGATAAGAGGGGGAAAAAAAAATCCCCGCTCACCCGAAACAGGTTCAAAATCGATCCCAAACTTCGCACAAAACTCCCTAATTTTCCTATCCCCTTCACTATCCAACGCCTGACTCACATCATCCCTTTTTTGTTCCCCAAACAAATCCTCCAAAAGCCTTCCCGGTCCATGAGAAGGAGGGTCCAAGTTCGTCCTGATACCTGACACGATGGACGATAATTGAGGCGCATACGTCTTTGGTTTGTCCGAAGCGGTCAGAGCGACGGCCTTTCGAATCGCGTCGTTATCGTGTTCGTAGATGACGGAAGCTATTTGTAGCCTAAGCGTCATATGCAAAGTCATTAGTTTTCGTTTCCTTCGTTTCGACCTGCCCCTCCCCTCCCCTCCCCTCCCAGGAGTGAAACAATTACTCACGTCAACTTTGCGATATCAAAATCAAAAAACCTTTCTTTCGTATTATCCTTCTGTTTCGAAATATCCACACCAAGCGCTTTCTTAGCAGCAGTCGCTTGTTCTTGAGTGAGTGCATAAAATAAGGATGGATTTCCGGCATTAACGAGACCCAGTCCTCCGCCGTATTTGGCAGACCAGCGGTAGTAAAGTCTAAATTGAAGGGGAGAAGGGGGTGGGGGGGAGTATTTAGTGACTAGGAATGAAAAGAGGGATCAGACGTACCGGACGAGAACAGGGAAATGGGCAGCTAAACAGAAGATAAGAACCAAAAACAGAAGCGCCGATCCTGAACATTCAAAGAAAGAGGAATTAAGAATCTATCACTGAGGCACAACAAGGCTCGAAGATTTCGCTCACCACCAACCGCAAAGAATAGGAGCGAGAGCGCATCGAACAAACCGAGACCACCAAAGAGGATGGAAATAATGACGGAGGTCCATGTTTGGAATAGGTAGCGGATATAACGACCGGTTTCGAGGAAGACAAGGGAGATGTAATTTCCGGCGGCCTGTTTTGTTGGTTAAGGTGTCATCGGAGAGGAGGTGATTATGGGCGATAGGTGTATGGGTGTGATGGAGGATGGAATGAGGCGGGAATGAGAAAAAGGATGTGAGCAATCGTCAAAGAGATCACATCCTGTCAGTTGGGCAAGAAATAGAGCAAGACCCAGCACGACACATACGTTGTACCGAACGGTTCGTTTATGGGTGTTATTCTGCGAAAGCCCAACGACTAATCATCCGCACCCAATTCCCAAAACAACAACAAGCGCATAACAGAGACGGACATGTCTAAGTGCGCGATTACAATGCTGGCAGTAAACACGATCTCACCTTCATCTAAACGGAGTTTGCGAAGAATGGAATGAATATCATCATCTCCATCGGTAGGGAGTGGCTCGTCATCGTGGACAGGGTTGTTGGCAGTGGTGGGGTTGGTACTAGGAGAGGACATTGGTGATGGGATTCGTGAGGTGGATCAATATCCGTCCCCATTGATATAAGCCCCCAACGAAACCAGGAATCAACGCAGTCATCCATAAGGGAAACGAACCTCGTGTGCTTCGTTTGCAAACCGGAATTCTTTCTCCATACTGAGTAAGGTGGGGTTCATTCTCAGAAGGCGAATCATATGCGTAAACCAAAAATTCTGCGTGAAAAATTGGCGCACCCGATTTTGGTTGACCATTGACTGATGACTGACCCAATTTGAATTGATCTAGCGATCATGATGCCATTTTGGATCACATGATTCGGCTAGGGCGCCGATTTGTAGCGGAGTTAGCCAGTTTATTTGTCTATTTGTGGGGCACATGCAAATGGCCGATGTGGATATGCAATGGATAATGTCCAATCGCTCACATCCACACACAACCCTTACGACTCTCACTACGTAATTCCCCCTAATCGGACTCCCACCTCCCCACATTGGAGCTGGTCGCCCCTAGGCAAGTGTGTTGGAAATGCAACAATCGGCGCCGTCATCCGACTGTCAATAATGTGATTATTGACAGCGGTGACTACCTGCGACAGTTCTAATTTCGTCGCAATTATTGACGATATTTGGGGGCTCGACCCTCATATACTGTGTATCAAGAGGGAGGATTTCTTTCTTACTCCCCCTCCCTCAGATCTCTTGTACGAGTCTGAGTCTAACGGGCCATAGCGCATTTATACACCTTAAACTTAAAAAAAGTAGTATAGAGGGTCACCGTACAGGTCAATTGCATCAGGGTATGCGCATGTATAGCATCCTAATATCATGTAATGTCGACCGCGTCTACTCAGAACATCCGGGGTTGGACGATCCGGTACCAGCATCCCATGACCGCCGAATTGTCGATAACTGTCCATTTTTGTCAGCTTTCGCTTGGTGGTCTTCGTCGCTCCACTAAGCGCACTGCCGTCACAACCGTCACTGAGGTGGTCTACTAGCTTAACACTGCCGGTGCTTCAATTAGATGGAGATACGGCAGCGGCGGTGCAACTTCGCACATGAACGACGGTCTAAGTGATGGTCTTGAGAAGGATGACGACAGGAACCGGCGGTTGCATCCAAAACTGGCCTGGAATTGTCATTCTCAAGCTCGCTGACCACAGAATGAACATTAGCGCCCAGCGGCCTCCTCGCTTCCGGCCCCAACAAGCACATGCCAATGGAATACTTTAGCCTTGACATATACAACAATCTCCTGCATCCAGCCGGAGACAAGATGTCTAAATCCCACTTCCCCTCAAAGAAGTCGGGTGGTAGAGCACAATCTACACTGGGGTGGTCGACCAAGCAAGGGGTAATTAATATCACCCGTGTCCCTGTAGCCATAATAAATGCAAAGGGTCCCAAGCAAGCTCAACCCATACATGTGGGGACGGGGCAACGGCGAAGCGACTCACCGCACCGTTGGCGCATCTGGGCATCTGCCTTCAGGCACGATCGTCTTTAATCTCAGAAATGATAACCGGCTTGTTGAGTGATAACCAAAACAAAACCTATGGCGTCGTGCGCATCGAGGGGGGGTCTGCGGGGATAGGAGGAGGGACCCTTCAGTGAGAGAATAGTTAAGGAGTCTGTTATAAGGCCAGGATAACGAGATCGGTGGGATGTGTTTACGAAGCAGTTGAGTAAGAATTTGTCGGTGGAGGAAGGCTTGCATCAGTAGCGACGCAAGTTGGGGAAAAACAAACATCGCGCACCCGACCGATTTGAATGATAATGACCATTCAGTGGGGGTCGGCAATTCAGGTTGACGACTGTTCACCCACCCGTGGCTGTGCTGTCTATTGCGAATAAAGCTGGGAACGGCAGGACATTTGACTCTCTACACAACAAATATAGAACTCAAGTGATTGCAAAATAGTGTTCTTGGTGACCCATACCAGTGCACCTTAGGTTTTTTTCGTTTTGAATATGCTGCTTTGTTGAGATATGGCAAGAAATCACAGTGAAAAACATGAAAGATGCCATTAATTTTGAAAACGAAACCTACGGATACCTAGATACATCCAATACAATATATATTCAATTCATCTGTAAAGTCAAGACACTATGAGATGAAGGAGAAATTTGGGCAGCAGGGTTTGTGGTTATCGAGTACATACGGCAGTTGCCGAAGCCCGAATTCGCGCGCAAAGTGGGCCTTTTTTGCTCTTTTAAGTGCATTCACACACCGGGGTTGGGCACTGATGAGGGATCCCATTGTATCATGGCTTCACAGTGGAACCGGGTCAAAAGGAATGGCCATTCTTGTAAGCAAAAAGCTGCATCAATTGTCGATGAATTCATCACAGCAAAGCTTACACCAAGAAAACACAAGATCTTGCGGGCAGCCGGTCAATGTATCAGCGCGTCAGGATCCGAGAAAGCTTGTAGAAAATTGCTTGCAGATGCTGGAATAGCGAAGGTTGCAGAAAATAGGAGGGAAAGGCAGATAAAGGAACTCAAATACACCGCTAAAATCGAGGCATTAAAGGCGGTTGAACTCACCAATGACATAGAATGGGCAAGAAACCCAAAGACAACTATTGCGCAGCTGGCAGCCTAAGCCTCAGCTAAATGCATATAGGCTCCAATAACAATAATTAAGAGATTGGAGAGAGTTTGAGCACTTTGTTAGATGATCAAAGGACTCGCCAGGTTTCACGGGGAAAAGTGGGTCACGTGGGGGTGGCACGCTTCAACATGGATTGCCGACCCCCACATTCAGGTCATGTGATCGACCAAAATGGACGATTGACCGCTATTTTCCGAAATGGGAATAGTTACATAGCAAATCGATTTAATATGAATCGATTACGTAAGGGTAATTGTTTACTTCTATGTACGCGTAACGATGCCACTGCGCGAGCCACCTAAAACGCAATCTGGCCACCAGAACAGAATAAAGCAAACCCTTATTTAACATGGATCTTGCCACACCCACTTACCACTTCCCCCCCCCCCCCCCAACACCATAACCCCCCTTCCTCTCTGCAACTTCATCCCCAGAGCTCGGACTAAGTCATTGCCAGTAGGTCAGTAACTAACCAATGATCCTGCAATCTTCCGCCATGTCTCGGGCCTCTTCTTGTTCTGTCCTGGGTCTGGATGATGCACGGCTGTCTAAGCGGTCTGCTTTCCATCCGGCTGGGGTAGCCATTGCCGAGTCTAACACCCTGAACCCCACATCCACATCCTCTGCACGCACCCGCGTTCATGCTACCGACCTCAGTGCTAAAGAGCGTGATGCCAAAGAAGCTGGCCATAGACGCGCAAAGGAGGAACACATTTCAAGCACAAACTATGGTTTGTCCCCCCTTCCCTCCTTTCTGACCGTTTGCCTTTCATCTCTCATAATTAGGGACCACCACCCAGCGCACTTGCATTAGTAGCGCATGCGGTCCTAGTGCGCACCATTATAATGAGGACAAACTCTTGAGATACGAGCTTCAAGGAATGCCTCATCGTGGCATCCCATTCCCCGAGTTCATCGATGTTCAGTTCCCCAATCATGAAAAGATTGACGAGTTGTTCAATGATATGACTGTCGTCGAGGAACACAGAGCAAGATTCCTTCAAGTGGCTCTCGTGGAGACCGATGAGAGGAGGATGTACGAGCCGTTCGTGGCTCTAGTCAATTCGATCCTAGGGCTTGTTGATGGATCGGAGATGGGGTGCATCGACCGGCACCGGTTCCCCCCTGGAGGGGCGGTGAAGAATGCTGACAGAAGGTTTGTGTTGTTGACTTGCGTGTTGATATTGCGGAAAGTAGAAAGCTGATATCGGTCTAGACCTGATGGTGTGTTTGTGCACAAGCGGGCCGATGGCTCTCTACCCCCGCCTCGAAGGAAAGGCTCCACTCCTCCGAAGGACGATCTTCGCTGGGATGAAGTTCTCATACCTGTAGAAATTAAAAGGGACGCAACCACCCTCCTGTCAGATTCAAGATTTCAGTCACCACCCGTGAAACTTTCTTACAATGATCTCCAAGAAAGTCTCAAGAACATCCAGTCTCGAATTTCCCTCAATTGTCGAGAACAACTGGCCTCATATGCTCTGGAAAGTCTCTCCGCGAACGTATTGAAGCGTTTCACGCTTGGGATGTTGGTGGTGAACGACATGGTGGAGTTATGGCATTTTGACCGTGCAGGCCCTCTGGGTACCTCAGTTTTGAAACTAGGAGACGACAATGACTTTGAGGTTTTCATTGATGCTGTCGCCGCAATTGGTTCTGCCTCCTCGTTGGATCTTGGTTTCGACCCGTGCTTCTTTCACGACAGTCCATGGCCGCACTATCCAACAGATTGTCTTGTAAAGATACCCTCGGACGACCCTTCTGGAAATGCAGGCCCCTTCGTAGCAAGAATTTCGTCAAATCACCCCTTCGACCAGCATCGTTGCCTGAGTGGCAGAGGCACACGCATCCTTCCTGTCACATTGACCAGCGACCCTAGTTCCCACGTATATGTCGTTAAACTAGCGTGGCAGCCATCTTCGCGAACGGCTGAAGCCGAGTTGTATAGAAGGGCTGGCGACATTCATGGACTCCCAAAGATTGTCTTCTCTGGAGAGCTTGGGACGCTATCTCATGGTGTCCGAGGCCGCCTCGAAGACTTATTGCCCTTTAGAGGGTCCCTTCCAGGTGACCGCGTGCTGCGAGCCATAGTTATGGAGAAGAGGTTTTCGCCTGTCTGGGGCCTCAGAATGGATGGCAAGCCGAGGAAAGATCGCAAGGTCTTATTAGCACAGCCTGATAAACTTCTCAAAATGATGCGCTCATGGGTTTCGAGTGCGTATTCCTCTTAATTATGAGTTATATGTCTCTCTTACTTATTTCCACAGTTCATCATGCATTGTACGAGAGGGGTATCCTCCACCGCGATATTAACCCGGGAAACATCATGTGGCAGGAGGAAAAAATTGATCTTCAAAAAATCGCGGCCAAAGCGCTCCTCGTTGATTTGGACTTCTCAAGCGGTCCAGATGATGATCGGGGTTACGTTCCTGATGAGGTCCCCTTCACATTTTCTACACCCTTCTTGGCTTTGGATCTTCTCGAATCGCACAGCGAACGGCAGCCTCACCTTTACCGTCACGATCTCGAGTCCTTCTTTTGGACGTTTCTTTGGCTCATCTTCAGCTTCGCGAATATCGAGTGTAATGGCCGATCTGCATCCTGCTGGCAAATTGGAAGTAAGGAGATGGTGTATGGCTTCAAGAGCAGTTTCCTCAAGCAAGATCATGAGCATTTCTTCCTCAAGTTGCTGAAAGCGCCCTCCTCGAATACGAGCCTGGTCAACAGCCTGAAGGCACTGCACTCCATGTTTCATGTTGGATATAAAGCGCTTGCATCTGGAGCAGACCACACGACCGCAGGGGGCTCTATTACATATGAACGCTTTATGAAAGCGCTGGAAGGGGATTTTCCTCTATGAACTTTTTAATATATCCATGTATACATCATATGACACATGATTATCCAATGTTTCTTCATCAACAACTTTGGCTTCGTATCCCTCGGCAAGCGACCGCCACAACGGTAGAATCCACTCCATCTTCAAAGGCATGGAATCCGAGAAGTATGTAATTGATGGAAGCATTAAGAATCCCCGCTTGGTCGCGCGAATATCTGACCATGTTCCTGCACTCCAATGTCCAAAGTGACTATCAAAAGACTTTCCAACCCGATATAAAGCCATCCATAACAACACAAAGAAGAAGGACTCGAGATCATGTCGATACCGAGTACGTGGAAGAGGATCAGGATAACAAAGCTCGACTGAGCGAAATGGAAGTGTTGCTCCCGGCAATGGAGGAACATCCAGAAGGGTGTTAGTATCGGGATCCTTGTCACGAACCGCCATGTCCAAATCAATTAAGACACCTTTAGTAGGATCATTCAGATCTACCATGAGGTTATTAATGCTGATGTCACGATGCAAAATCCCTGCTTTTCCGTACAAATCATGGTGTGCTGAAGCATTGTCAGTGCATGTGCGAATATGATAATGTGGACTAGATACCTTGAACTAAGGATGTGAACGCTATCTTGAAATGGTCAAGGCCCTTGACCTTGTAAAGCGGCATGCAACGCGGTCCCATAACCTGGATACGAAATTCGCGATCTTGGAAGTATCTCTGGTTGCACAATCTACCGCGTGTCCCCTCCGAGAGTCGGCCAACAATGGTAGAACCATAGAGTCTAGCAATACCTTCAACTCCGCGTGCATGGGCAATTCGAAACAGCTCATCTTCGTTATGTTTCGATACTGGCTGCCAAGCGCACTTGACAATGACTGAATCGGGTATGGGGAGATCATTTTCAGGCCCATGCAACCTTTGCGCCCCAAAAACTGTAGTTCCCCGCCCATATAAAGACGATGCTAAATGGATGACATCTACAAGTTTATATTGCTCGCCTCCAACCTCGATCTCATGGCCTTCAGCAGTCCACCATTCTCTCCGGCCACCCCTCTTACTAGACAGCTTGAAGAAGGACTCATAGCCCAAGCACGCTTTGCTTGCGAGAGATAGATGAAGGAGAGTAGCGACAATTTGATGTTCGTCTTTCTCAAGATCAAGCATAGTCGAAGAGACAGAACCAGCACGGTCAAAGTACCAGAACTGTAACGTTCCACCTTCAACATGCAGACCAAGAACATGACGCCTATTTCCAGGGATGCAAATGGCTTCCGTAGCATACTGGATAAGATTTGGGGGACGGAGGGGAGAGGATGCCACAGGAGGGGGAAGATGTCGTAGTTTTCGACGTTTTGATGGCTGGCGAGTAGCATCTGAACCCATGAGTATAAAGTCACGAGGTCGTTTCGTCCCTCCAGGGGAATGATCGTAGCGAGGCTCCACGGGAATACGAGACATGCACTCTGTGTCGCATTCTGCCCGGGGAAACCCATAGTCAACGGGAGGGGGGGAGCGAGACTAGGGTTGCAGTCAATAACGAGTATTGAATTGGAAAACTCGAAACCAAGCTCCTTATTCTTTATTGCGACACATTCAACACCGAGACAGCGAGGTTGGGGGATTCGGTGTTTCGGCTGCGCTGTGCCAGGCTCTTCCGGACGCTTTCCATAATGGATATCGTGAGCATATTGGTGAGAAAACCCAAATGATGGCGCCTTCCAAACAACAAAGTTGAACAATCGCATTAGATCCACGTCAGGGTCAGGCACTTCCGGAGATAAAGGCGCTTTCTTTTTGGCACCGTATCGCTCAAGATATGTCTTTCGATATCGAGAGAACTCATCACTTCGAACTATATCGTCAGCAATGGTATCGAGGCCAGGATATCTGTGGTTAGATCCAAATATAGCATTCGTATACACGGAGAAGTCGACCTGGACATGGCTCTCCTCTTCGGGAGGCTTGGATCCAATGAACGAGGCAGTGGGTGGGGTAGGAGCATCGTAGAGAAATGGGGTTTGAGCAACAGCGTCGGAGATGGAGCGTAAACGGGTCTCATACTCTTTCAGAGTAATAACACTGGTACTTGCTGTGTTTTGGGACCGCAGAGAAGATGTCTTGCTTGTCCTCAGTTTAGGTGCGCTTGGCCCTAGTGAAGGTCTTGAGCTAATATACTTCAAGGGGGCATTCCACGAACCGGAGCATGATGAGTAGTTATCTCGTGCCTCTCGTTGGTCATATTCTTCCCAAGTCATCAGCACGAATACGGCACGAACAGCAGAGGGATTTTTCAAGGAGTACAAAAGCAGGTTGAGGCTTGGTAGGGAAGGGAGCGACAGGCGTTGGCCAGGCAAAGAGCAGACGGAGCGGAGTCGAGAGGTTGAGCCTTGGCCACAAGTTGTTGTTGTTGGTCTGCGACCGCGTTGACACGTGGCAGTGCGGCTATCCCGGCACAACTGAGACTTGTAGGGGCAATCAACAAACAAGGAATGCACTGCCACGTTTTCGGTCGAAGTATGTATTATTTGGCCTTGGTTCATCCGAGCCGCGAAACACTATGAAATCATAGAGACTACTATGACATGAGTTATGGGCAAAAATTCCGGAGTGATCTTTTCGGCAACTTGCACTTTGTGCCTATCAGCTTGCCTCACATGCTTTACATACTTTGCATACTCCTGTCCTATGACCCTTGCTAAGCCTACCCAATTTCTATAGGGGCCCCCTGCATGTGACTGATCTTATGCTGTATTTATTGTAGTGGAATTTATTAGAATAGTGACTATGTCGCGTAAGACTCAGACTCGAATAAGAGATCTAAGTTGTAAATACCTATGTCGCGTAAGACTGCGACAAGAGTTATACATGAGTTATAATAGGAGATATAGAATGGTTCTCACCTCAGACTCGAATAAGAGATCTGAGGGAGAAAAGTCTAAGAAATTCCTCCCTTATATACGCGACATTCCTGAGTGGCAACGTCGTCGTACAAAGGGAGTTTTAAGTTGAATAAGAGGGGCAAAACGCCCCCAACGCCTCAAAAGCCCCAGAATGACCGCTATGAATAACCGCTACACAACTACCCGATGTAAACAAGGTTGGTATTCTAATAGAATTATCCAAATTCCCGCTACTCTGTAGCGGGTCTAGACTGAATTGCCATGCAAAAAGGTCCTCTATTATTGCATATTCCATTGCTTCCCGAGGTCCTCTTTGGTCCTAACCGTTCCCTTTCATGTTCTATTACCATTGCATGTGTGTTGAAACCTGAGTTGGCCCAATCTTCCTTGCCTTTTAAAACATTCCAGTTACCCCTCCCTCAACTTGCTTCTTTCCTCACCTATGGCCGCTCCATCACACAGTGCAGCTCCCCATGCTTTCTCACCTTTTGCTTTTTTGTCCACCACTTCCGCTTCTTCTCCCTCCCTCGTGAATGAAGCATTCAAGCATGGACTTTTTACACAACCTGTAACGATCAATGATCCCTGTTTCACGCTTCTGCATCATATTGTCAATGGGGACTGCTACTTGAGTGCCTTCAGTGCATGTGCCAACACTCGGGCGAAATTTGTTCTTATCGATGATTATCTCCGATTCCTGTTTGACTTCCTCCTTTCCCCTTCTGCTTCCAATGTGTTGGAGGAAGCGCCCTCAGCGCATGTATTTACACATGTTTATATTACCATATACAATCTAAGAGTTAACCGCCATGTTGTCCAACCGCCGTTGACCTGGTTCTTTCTACAGGTTATGAGCCCAGGCGGCTCGCCTGGACACCTGAGGTATCAATCAAATCCGTCTGACTCTCGCGGTACCCCGGCCTGTTTTCCTTAGCCATCTGAGAAAGTCCTCAGGCTTGAGGCAGGAATCTGCGATAAGTCCCGCTGGGCCTGCATCTATTTGGAAAGCCCTCAGTTTGAGGCAAGAATTTGCGATAAGTCCCGCTGGGCACGTGCTTATTGTGAAAGTCCTCGAGTTTGAGGCAAGAATTTGCGATAAGTCCCGCTGGGCACGCGCTTATTGAGAAAGCCCTCGGGTTTGAGGCAGGGATTTTGTGATAAGTCCTGCTGGGCACACATTAATCAAGAAAGTCCTCAGGCTTGAGGCAGGAACCTGCGATAAGTCCCGCTGGGCCCGCGTCGATTTTGGAAAGTCCTATTTATTAGGCACCGGTAATCTCAAAGCCCATGGGACATGGCACTTTATTGCTGTAAGCCCTTAGACAGGCATGCAATTTTTACCTCACATTTTCCTCACCCCCTCCTTGCCACGTCATCACCTCTCTTTAATTTTTCTCACGCCTCATCGCACCACTGTTATTCAGAGGGTGAAAAAAAAAAAATTTACACTCCTTCCTCATTCAATCATCATGCCGGCCACCACCCCATTCGACAAACTAAGTGACGACAATTATACAGCCTGGTCCCAGTACATGAAGGCTGACTTAGTCCGGAAGAAACTCTGGGGCTATGTTTCTGGAGATATACCCCGACCACTTGGAAGTGCGCATCACAGGACTGTTCAGGCCTGGCAAGAAAAGCACGATATTGCCGCAGCTGAGATTCTACTCAATGTCTCCCCGAAATATATCAGTCATTGTGATGACACTGATGCACCTGGAACCTGGAACAAACTCAGAACCATATTCCGCACAGAGGGCAGTAGTTCTATTGCTGCACTCCGTTATCAATTCAATTCTATGCGCTACAATGGGACCACAATGCGAGAATGGATTACCAAAGTTGAAGATGCCGCGCGTCATCTTGAAGATGTCAAGTCCCCCATGATCCCAATTGACATCATCAACATCCTAATTCGCAATCTCCCAGAATCATACTCCCCCCTAATCGTCGTCGTTGATACTCTGTTGGATGACCCCCTCCGACCCGTGGACTCTACAACCATTCAAGATGTCATCAGGCGACTTCTAAATGAGGAAATTCGCCTTGCTAACACTACACACGATGGAGAACCCTGGGCTGCCAAAGTTGCCAAGGAAAGTAGGAACACAGACAGGTGTTATAACTGCGGGCAACCAGGACATATCAAATTCGAATGCAAACTTAGCCCATATGAAGTTCAGACACGCCGCAAGTGCAGGAACAAGTTCAAGAACATAAATGTGGATGAAGCAAAAATGGCAGAGCAAGATGAGCCTAATTATGAATCTCATGCCATTTATTAATTACATGCTCCTTCGTTCGAGAGGGTGTGTTGGAGGAAGCGCCCTCAGCGCATGTATTTACACATGTTTATATTACCATATACAATCTAAGAGTTAACCGCCATGTTGTCCAACCGCCGTTGACCTGGTTCTTTCTACACAATGAACTCCAGAAACTTGTATGTAATGCTTTGGGTGTTTGTCAGGGGACGACTCCCGGGTCCCCATGACCCTCCCCTATGGTCCACAGCCCTGTGGTGTAACCAGCCCTATCCAGGGCACAACCTACTGTGGGTAAGAAGATGAGAGGGAAGCTAACTTCTCATCTTCCCACAGTGGCCACCATATCAGGAAAACTTCCGGGGATACCTGGAAGTCACATGAAGGGGTAGGAACCGGGCCCAAGGCATGCGGTGTGTGGAGCGTGCGCACATGTGGGAAGCGTGGTGGGTGGAAGCGGGTCCGGGTCCGGGCTAGTCAGGGTGTGTGCCCTGACAGTGTTGCAGACTCTAATCGATATCATGCTGGTCCAAATGACTATTCCCTCATATTGAGTGAATTTTCCACCATTCAGTACTGATATCCAGACTGGTTCAGCATTTTCCGTTGCTTTGAACGTTTATCTCATCTTGAACTCCTTGCAATCTGCCGCTTTCATCAACTTGCATGTCATCTTCACAGTTCAAGTCTAACTCGTGAACAATTGCAATCCATCCTCATTGCTCATTTACTTTCCGACTCCCCATGCAACTTTGGGTTGAAAGAACACTCTGTCTCTGTCAGGGCACACCCTGCCTGACCCAGCACCGCACCCAGTGCCGCACCGCCCTACTCTGCTCCCCCCGCTACCATGCCTCGTTCCTCCTCTCCCTTTTTCCTTCTTTGTCTCTATTTCTATTCCATGGTCGATTTCCCTTTTCTCTATGTATCATCACACACCTAATACCACTCCCCGATCGCTGCACCCATCGCGTGCATCCCCACCTACAGAGCAGCACACCTTTGGGATCTCCCATGGAGACACCCAGAGAGGTCTGGCTGTGTGTGGAGATGACATGGCTCCTCCCATGTGACCCTGACCACATGTATATAATAGCACCTGGGGTGGGAACAGAAGAAGCAGCCTTCTTCTCAACTTCCCACTTCAGGTAAGTACTGTAGTTCTGTCATATCCATGCATACCCGATCCCGGCCCGACTCCTGGACCTCCATCTTCACCACCTCCGGAGTCCTACCCTACCGCTGTCTGCTCCGATACTCACCTTCGGTCCTGACACCCATGCCACCTCCACTCCTCTGTCCTTCTCCTGTCCTATCTCCATCCGCTCCGATACTCACCTCGGACCGAACACCACTCCTCTCACCACCCTCCTCCTACTCCTCCCACTCCTCCACTTCCTCCTCACAACACCTCCACCCTTCCGTCATTCCCCTACCCTTCACCCATCCACTCCGATACTCACCTTTGGACCTGACACCTTTCCTCTCCTCCACTCCTCTCCCTTTTCCTCTTTCCTCTCTCTTCCCTCTGGCCCTCTTCTGCCAACCTTCTGCCAAGTTACAACCTTCTGCCACTGTCCCATACCTTGTACCTGGACACCACTCGTACCTTCGCCTCGTACCTTCGCTCCAAGACTCTGTCATAGTTCCTACCTCGGACTTTGACCCCACCTCAGCTTTAGTCCATTGCATTGGTGACCTCATACTACATAAACACCATTGCCAATATTCCTCAGACTTCCAACCCCACCTCCGTAACCTCCGTAAGCTCCGCAACCTCTGAGCTCCACGGATCATCTTCGGCACTTTCGCCGCTTGTAATGTATCTTTCGCATTTCCCCCTCATCCCTATTTGGACTGCTGCTTCTTCCCATTCTAGCCAGTTAGTCATCATCCCCACTTCCCCTCTGGTGTCAGGGCATGCCCCGGCATGCCCCGCCCGACCCCCGCCCCGCTTCCCCGCTCCGCACCGCTTCCTTTCTCCTTTCTTTCTTTCTTTCTTTCTTTCTTTCTTTCCTTCTCTCTCTCTTACATGGACCACCTTTCCTGCTGTTCAATGTACCACCGGCACGCATGCCCATTTCCCCTCCTGTATCTTACCATCCCTACATCACCGCTACCGCCGCCGCACTCGCCCCGCACCCACAGTGGGCCCTCTCAGGATCTCCCGCGGAGGCACCCGGAGAACCATGGCTGTGTGCGAGGGTGACGTGGCACACCCCACGTGACCAATCCCACATGTATATAATAACAGCTGGGGTGGGAACCGAAGAAGTAGCCTTCTTCTTACATTCCCACTTCAGGCAAGTAGTGTAGCCTTCCCTTTTAATGATAACTTACATTCCCACTTCAGACTAAGTGGTTGGGGATGCTCACCCCGCAACGGGATCGCCGCTACGCACAGCCGCTATTCATCCCACTGA